TCCCTCCCTCCCTCCTTCCCTCCCTCCCTTCCTCCCTCCCTCTCTCTTTCCATCCCCCCCTCTCTCTTTTTTGAGAATCTCTCACTGAACCTGGAACCTATAGCTCCCCAGTTGGCTAGGCGGCCTGAGTTGCAGAGAACCTGCCTCATCAGCTTGCTGCCTCATGGATGCTAGAGATCTGAACTGAGCTCTTCTTCCTTGGACCTGCAGTCCCTGGACCCATTGAGTCATCTTCGTAGCCCTCAGTATGCTCTGCATGTCTTTTCTTAGTGAAGCAGTTATGACTTAGGTATGGTTCTCATTGAGGGCATTGCCATTATGGAAAAAGAATGTGTGAAGTAAGCTTGGTGCATTAATGCCCATTTCCTCCATAAGATTCACGTGCTGATCCCTACTATAATGTTATATGGAAATGGGGCCTTTTGGAGTTGCGGGGGGGGGGGATAATTGGAGTAGAGGTATTAGGAATGACAATGATGCCCAATAAAAGGGGAACTGAGAACTCCCTTCCTCCTCCAAGAGAGAACATAGAAAGGAGATGGCCATCTATGAGGAAGGGCACCCTCTCAGACATCAAATCTGCTGGTGCTTTGACCTTGAACTTAGCCCTCTTCTAAGACACTTTGCAGAGAGGAATGTTTACCTGCAGAAGTCATCCGGCTGCCATTTTTCATGTCTCCTTAGTTACCTTCCCTTTCCTGACTACATTCCATCCTTATGTCCAGAAGACAGGAAGCTGGCTGTTTTCTGCCAGGGGAGCTGAGCCTGTCAGTCACTGGGCAGAAGATGTTCACTCACTAATTCAGGATTGAAACAGTCTTGCCCAGTATGGTTTATAATACAAGTCCCTCTTAAACATCGGAGTTGCTCTAGGGTGGAATTTCTGGTCCTCAGCAGTAGGGCTAGTTAGCTAAATGATCCTTTGTCGTAGAGGCCTTTCTGTGCATTGTGGGACAATGTCAGCATCCTTGGCCTTGTGGAAAGTTATCAGCATCCTTGGTCCATGCACACACTGAATGACAAGAGCATTACATTTTGATCATTACAAATGTCCCCTTACCTTGCCAAATGTCCCAATCTTCCAAGTGAGATGAACCATGGAAACACATAAAAAATATTACTCTTTTTTACTTCTAACTTTTCTGTGATGTTCCCCCCCCCCCCCCAAAATAAGTTGTTATCTGTTCTGGCAGTATTGATTCAGAACTTGTGTGCTTTGTAACTCCCAGGAGTTTGGCTGTTACACCAAATTGCTCTGCGGTGTCCACATTTATCAACTTAATGTTTTCCTTCGGCCACCACTTAGCTGGAAAGATGCCTAATGTGTATAGGGCATGATAAATAGTATTTTCTTTTTCCTCACCTTTCCTTCCCTTCCTTGATAAAGTCTTCAGATTCCATTGGGTTTTATACCTAGTTATAACCGAGCAATTCTTGACCTTGGAAATTTGTGTTGATTGCCATTTTATGAATCCTGATGACCAAAGTCGACTATTCTTCTTTTCTTTATAGGGTTTGTTAATGTCCAATTCACTTAATCAATTGACTCTGGAGTCTCACTCAAGGATAGTTGAAGAATGTAAAAGAGTGTGTTCAGTTTGGCTCCAACTTGTCTGCACATGCATGTGAGCACATTGGATGTACGTGTTCTCTCTCTCTCTCTCCCTCCCTCTCCCTCTCTCTCGCTCCCTCCCCCTCCCTCCCACCCTCCCTCCCTTCCTCCCCATGTCTCTCTCTCTCTTCCTCCCCCCCCCCACATATATGAAAATACTCTGGAGAGATATGTTTCAAAGCTTGATACTCAAGTGTCATTTGTAATGTTTCCTCCTTGTTCACATTTGTATTTTCTTTTTTTTTTTTGGACAATAAATGTCTAATGATTGTTAAATTTAAAAAAATTAAAAATGCTTTAGGGAGTCATTCTCCAGCTCTTGCAATATAATGCAAGACTTGGCACCTGTCTAAGGGTGTTAATAGCAACAAGAGTTTGGCTGAAATGGCATTTATTTTTAGAGGACACAAGGATGACTGAGTCACCCATCGTATTTTAGGGGGAAGGATGAAACAAGAAACCCCCAAGGAACAGGTGAAGATTTGTTAGACTGATTTCTGTCCTGTGCTCCAAGTTTTATGGGTCAAGATATCTGTATGTGTATGAGCTCAGATGGAACTTTCCTGAGCTCCCAGGGGGCCAAATTTAGCAGTGAGCTAAGGGCTCTGAGCCACAGAGAGCGTCACCCTGCTGAGAATGGCTAGTGTATCCTGAGGCTGTGTGTATTTAAAAGCTGTCCAGTGAGTACTCTGTGTTCCTAGAGCATGTTGGGTTTGCTGGTCTCCAAGTGGCTTGAATACCAAACACTTCCCTGAAGCTCCATTGGCCACTGAGCTGGCTCCCAGACCCTCAATGAATCAGAACTCAGTTACTGTGTAGTTTTAGAAGTCAGAGAGAGCTTTTCTCAGGAGATACTTTAGTACCCTTTCTCATCACATGTGCATAGTAAGATGCTGTTAGGAGGAGGTTGCCATGGCAATGTGTCTGTGAATGGTGAAAGAGGAAGAGTGGATGGATGGAGCTAGTTAATTCTGACTTCATCGTTTGATCAATGATGTGCTATCACCAAGTCTGGGTGATACAGAAGGCAGCATGCAGGCTTGGGAGGGAGCTCCATCAGGTCCTGAATCCATCTTCTACCACAGGCTACCCCACTGCACACATAACAAAGTGCCACTCAGCCTCTTGTAGCTCTCACTTCCTCATCTGTAGGGTGAGTGGGCACAACATAGACTTCGTTCTAGTTTCACTGTGATGATAAGGACCTAGATCACCGGTAAGAACAGGTTGGTGTGTAGCAGCCACTTAACTTTCCCTTCTCTCTGGTCACTTTTCAGATCTGTGGCTGACAATGAGCACCCATCACAAATTTTCACAAACTAATTTCTGAGAAGAGACAGGAGACATTTCAGTAGTGGGAAAAGAGGGGAAGCTGAGGGTGTCACACACGCATTTCCACACCAAGAGAAAACAAACATTCTGCCAGTTTTCACTGACGAAAGTAAGAAAATGAACATAAAAATGATGTATAGCTTTTTTTTCCTAATACAAAATGGAAAAAAAGGAATTTTGGGGGAGAATAACATTTCATTTAATTAAGGTTCAAAGTTAGAGATCCTATTATCAAATTGATGGCCACTGTTCTCTGTACAAACCATTTGTAGCTGGGAGGACATCCAATATCAGAAAGCAGACTGAATTTGTTCCACAAGCAAATAATGAATTTGTTCCATGAACAAATCCCTACTGTGGGACATTTTACTTCTAAGGCCAATATCCACTCGTGCTCTGACCCTCATTATCAGTGAGGAGTACATGATTTGAAAACGTGATTGATACCCAAACAATCCTTAAAGAGCTACCATCTGGAGAAGAGGCTGAAATAATTCTTTAAAGAAATGGACTCTGAGATGCTGTCAGAGTACTTAGTCTTTTGTCACCAGATGATTCTCTTAATAATATCGTCCTTTGTAGCCAAAATCTGGAAAAGAGTGGGAAGAAATTATCAGGCCACACAAACTGACCACCTACAAAGAGAGATCAAGGAGTGAGCAGATATGAAAGCCGGCAGCCACATAAACGGATCCTCCCAGCTATTGATCAAGTAAGGAAAGGACCAGCCTGTTTCCAGCGATGAAGTGGCTAAAGCAGGGCTTAACATTTGGTGCCTAAACATCAGCATCCCTTCCTGCTAGCCTTCCAATGACCTGGATGGAGAGGTTCAGATGTACAGACTCAAGTGACTGACAACACTCAGGCAGAAACGGGACTGCTAATTTCTGTGAGGTGTATTCTTCCCACAAGGGAGTGCATCTCAGTGGAGAGTTAGGGAGAGTTAGAAATTACTCAGTGGAATAGAGGAGACCTGAGTTGAAGCAATAAGACTCATTTATTAAGTCTATCGCCTAACAGTTGTGGCTCATATCTAGGCCTTTGTGACACAGAAGAACCACTATATTTGTAGTATATGCACTCATTGGATTGATAGCAAGCTAAAATAAGAAATTATATTGGAACATATTTAACATTGTAAATTTTAGGAAAATAGCAATATTTTTATATAGTAATTATTGATTAATGTTAGACAGAAATTAATAAGATGAACAGAACGAAGATTATTATGGTTCCGTATCATACATATCCAAGTGTTAATCAAAATCTTTGTTTCTCCAAAATGAGGAATACCTGTTTTCAGCCCCAGTAGATGAGGAAGACCCAGCTCTCAACCTCTGTTCCTCAAAGCTAAAATTATTCACTATGATCATATGTACAGAGTAATCCATATGGAGGTACCCCATTCACTTAAATTTTCTTTGTTTGTATTGTTAATTATGTTAATTGAAAATTAAAAATGTTAAATTCCAAAAAAAAGAGAAAGAAACAACCCATTTAAAAAAAAAGACTCATTTATGAACTGAGGTCCGGGAGAGGACCCTGTTTCTGACTATTGTACAAGATGTGGACAAGATTGGATGTGGATGTGGGTTGAAACGTATGGATGAAGAAGGGACTGAGATGATATTAGAAAGAACCCAAGTCCCAGTGGTAACTCTTTGTTATTTGTGTGACAGAAACGATGATCCCTCTGCAGCAGTTTTGAAACTTACTCAGAGATCAGTGATGGTAAATTCTTCAGGAGAAAGTTCCAAGACAGGTGTTCATAACTTGCATTATTTGTAACTTCTTGGAAAATAGCCAGGTTTGAGGCAGGGGTCTTTTGAGATATGTCACTTTGGCTGAGGAGCAATATTTAAGTAAAGAGGGTTTAGCAAGGGGGCTTTGGTGGCTTATTTTTAAAATTTTCCTCTGAGTTGATGCAAACGTGTATTTCTCCATTCACGTGTCAAGGGACCATAGGCCAAGTGTTTCCAGTTATTTTTTTTAACTAATACCATGGAATAAGACACAGAGTTTACATAAATGCCAAAGAAAAGTAGAAGTACTTTCAAGCAAAATTTATTAGGTATCTACTCAAGAAAAACACAATGACCTTTGCTTTGTAAGAATTCAAAGTCAATGACCTGAAAGCCAGGTATGAATATTTTTTTCCCTTTTAAAATCAGATACAGAGTAGAAACAGCAAATTTTCTTAAATAGAACAGGCAGCAGAGTTGAAGATTTGTTTTCATAAATGGTGTGAAAAAGAAGTAGTCATTCATCAGCAAAGCTGCACGTGGCTGGCTGATTGCCAATCCCAAGTTTTCCTAACAGAAAGCTGGTCGTGAACTGGAGGGTAAAGTGAGCTTCTCAGAGGTGTTTTGTCCCTACCCCCTTAGTGACATTCCTCTGTTGCCAGTATCTATGTGCGTTTCAGGTTGGATACAAAGATCTTTCCAATTCATAGAATTTTGTGTAGATGTTATCTTCCAGATTCATACTAGCCTGTGATCTGTGAAGAGAGCCTCAAGGGAGACCTGCCGGAAGAGTTTAAACTCAGTTTAAGTGCAGGATAAAGACCAAATTGGGAAATCCCCATTTTCTGAATAAGTAAATAGTTTGTACAAAAGAAAAGAACAAACATATATACAAAATGCTAGGGTCTACATGTTGTGTGAGATCAAGCATTGCCCACGGAGGAAAGCCATAAAAAGTTTTGTCTATAAGGTGCTAAAGATTTCAAAGACGAACAGGTCTTATGCAAATTCATTCGAAATACAAAGCTACGTCTCAGAGTATGCGGAACACAGGCACTGTGAATCCATTAAATCTTTCAGGTTTGGTATCATTTTGTAGAACTGTTTGGGGGGCAGGAAATACAACCTGAATGATTTAACCATTATTTCTAAAATCGCCTCATTATTTCTAGGAAGTATTTTACACACACCAGAAAAATCAGGCTCACCATATATATTCCTGTCTGCAAATGGAGTCAGGATTCTGGGTTTCATAGAAGAAAAATAATTATTGTAGTAAAAATAATTGTATTGATCATAGTCCTTGCTAAAGCCAGCCTTAACACTCAGGATGCTCCTGAAGCACTCTATAAAATAATGTGGGATTCTTTTACATGTCCATAAAATGTACAACATAACATCTGATTTATATGTCCTTATGTGTAAGTGTACACGCAGTGAAACCCACTTATGGGTGTTACTTTTGCCTCTTTGCCTCTCTTACTAACACTGCTTTTTAAGTTTTAACAGATAAATAAAACACTAAGAGCTCATTGTTCATGATGCTGATGATTACATTTTAATATAAAACAGCAATGCAAATTTACAACACGATTTGTCCCGCAGTGTGGCTAAACCTTCGTGATAGTCATGGTAGTGACCAACAGCTTCTTAATCGCTCACTGTTTGCACTTCTAATAAGTACACACACAAAAAAATGTGCAGGATAAGACTCCTGGGTGAGAACTTAATGCAGCCAACAGAAATCACAGCCGTCCCAGTTAACCTTCCTACTTGCTCTAGATTTTATAAATCACTGTGCATAAAACAATATGTAAGAAGTGCAGGCAAACAATAGCTGAAGTATAGTTGTTATACAGTGTAAACCAGGGCACTAGGCAAACTCGTGAGAGGAAAACACACTGCCAAGCTGAGGGTGAAAATGCAAACCACAGCATTTCAGAAAACAGTCTGGTTCCTGAGGACAGAACACCTTCTAGAGAGGGGGAAATACAGCCGTGATGAGACCAGCCAGTCTCCTAGAGAGTCTCTTTTCTTTCTTCCTTCCTTCTTTCTTTTCCTTCCTTTCTTCCTTTCTTCCTTCCTTTCTTTCTCTCTCTCTCTCTTTCTTTCTTTCTTTCTTTCTTTCTTTCTTTCTTTCTTTCTTTCTTTCTTTCTCTCCTCTTTTTTTCCTGCCTTAACTCTTCCACTCTTTTTAATTATGATGACTTTCATTCCAATTCCATACACAGAGATTTTTAAAGTTCAGGGCAGAAAGCAGGAAACCGCATTGATGCGGGTGTAAGTTTTGCCACAGTTCCCTATAAGCGCCCAGCCTCCCTAAGGCTCACAGAGGCAGTTGCTGCTGGTGATTTGGTGGCGGCAGGTGGAGATGGCAAGGGCCTTGGGAAACCATAAGGCATGACAGGCCTGCTGGCTGGGATATTCCAGGTGAGTTGTGCGGATGTGTTACCGAAATGCGGAGTAAATGAGGGAGAAGGCGATTCACAGCCTCTTGACATAGTTTCCGGGAAAAGTCCCAAAGAATTTGGTTCTTCTTGAAGTTCCTGAAAACAGAAGCAACAAATGAACAGGTGTGTAACAGCAATGAAATGTCAGGTACTATGTCTGCTTGAGGAATTGCCTTCTCTAAGGGTTCACTGAGAGAGCAAGCCCTAAATAGTTTGGGAAGAAGCATAGAGAACTCACTTGAGGACAGGAAAAAGAGAAAGCAGGCAGGTTAATTGTCTTGTCTGATGTCATCATTGTCACATTTGCTTAAGGGGTCAACTTCTATCACAGGGAGCTACGTGAGGAAGCCCAGCCTCCCAGTCTAGAGAGAAGACAACTGGGCAGGGAGTTGGGTGGCAGGACTCACATCTCCACAATGCCAAACAAGGACCAAGAGGTAACCGTGAGGCTTGCGGTGGACGAGATGAGAGTACCGGATGCACACAGAGGAGCAGGAGGTTTCCTCTGCAGTGCCACACGGCCACCACACGGACATTGCCATTGTCACAAGTGTTATAATCTCATGCTTAGTGCTACCTCACTCTCAAAGAAAGCACAGTTACACTTCTGAACAAAATACAGACTTCTGAGCAATTTAAAAATCACTGTATTTTTTTTTTCAAAGTAGAAGATTGGCTGATTCTTGTGTGGGCATGTGGGTTAGGGTGAGCCACTGAGAATGACTTCTAACAAGGGCAGTTAAGCTGAGTGCACACATGGCTATTCTTATTGTCTCCTTTGTCTCAGATGCCACAGTTCCTTGGATAATTCCTATAAAGTCTATACAATAAGTTCTTTTGTGTTTTAGAATAGAAGGTTGGGTAGGGCCTCTAAAATTTCATTTCTCATTAACATTTTATAATTCACTGGCTTGTCTACAACCCCTGAAAATCATATATTCTCTTCTTGTATATGGAGATTAAGGGAAATAATAGGATCTAAGGCATGTGTCTGCCCAGGTGACCTCAGTTCTTTCCTTACCTCGCCGCTGCTGGACTAGTCTAAAGAAAGATTCCATTCCCACATTTTTATTTTATGTGTATGGGGGTTTGCCTGGATGCCTGTCTGTGCTTGGCATGTACACAGTGCTTACTGAGGCCAGAACGGGTGTCAGCTGCCCCTGGAACTGGAGTCATGGACAGCTAATAGCCACCGTATGGGTGCTAAGAGTGGAACCCAGGTCATCCTAACTCTCCAGACTCTCCAGCCTCCCAGCCCCTTTCCTCGTCATCCCTTCCTTTGTGTCTGGGTGGACACTTCTGTCTACCAGGATTTTCTTAGAAGATCTCATGTCGTCTCCTCCTCATCTCCTTGCTCTTCTGCTTCCTCCACCTCTCTCTCTGTTCTGGGCACCGGACAGTGGAGCAGTGGCGGATGTAAGCATGTACTCCATGGCTGAGCTTCCAGTCTCTGAGATGGTAACCCCGGGCTTGCCTTTGCAGCGGCGACAAAGGTAGTTCTCACATCTACTAACTGAAGCTCAGGAGGACCCCTAGACTTTTTTTTTAGGACTGGCTATATCAGTCCTAGCAAATGGGTCAGCTTCCTTTTCCTCTCGCTCCCCATCCAATAACATTTCCCCTATTGACAGCTAACATTTTCCACCAAACAGAGCAAAAATATTTCCCACATGGGAACATTTAGTGTTTTTGTAATTGTCATTATGACATCACAGCCATTGCTAATTGGTGCTATTTAAAGGAATTTTCCTAGTTGGGTTGAAAATTAAGCTAGCAGAAAATCGCATATCCCCACAGCAGTAAATGCTACACTTTATTAAAATGCAGTGACTTTGGGATGTACAGCACACCACGAATTCAAAGAGAGACTGACATTCACAGAGGACCACAAAAGTGAGCAAATTTAAAACAAACAACAAAACAGTCAGACGTGTCTAGAGTGAATGACGGGACAGTCAGACGTGTCTAGAGTAAATGAGAGAACACTCAGACATGTCTAGAGTGAATGACGGGACAGTCAGACGTGTCTAGAGTAAATGAGAGAACAGTCAGACATGTCTAGAGTGAATGAGAGAACAGTCAGATGTGTCCAGAGTGAATGACGGGACAGTCAGACGTGTCCAGAGTGAATGAGCACATACCCACGAACCATCCGTCATCACACTTCTCCGTGACATCCACGACATCGCTCTCTCTGAGCTCCAGCTCGTCTTCATTCCTAGGAGTATAGTTATACAGAGCCTGAAACCTTAAACAGGACAGATGGGCGTGTTTAATTTATTTCATATTGTCATCAAGTTATAGAAGTTATTGTAACAGTCATTTCAGCTCTAACATGTAGATTTCTACATTCTAATATGCTGTGTCAGGCATGTTCAGTCTCTGCTAAGCACGTAAAGCCAACAGAGACGTGCAGAGTCTCATGGGGGTCAGGCCACTTTAGCCATACTTCAAAACTTACCATGAAAAATATTCAGAAAAGATTATAATATTCACAAGTCGGGCAAAAGCATTTTGATATTTGTAGGCCAGACCTGCATTTCAATTGTCTAGACATATAATGTTTGCCATGCAGGTGCTACATAGCAATATAGAATAATATTGGTACAAATGGTATTTGTATTGTACAGCCCATTAAGAGGGGTCACAGAGTTAGCTAGCCATAACCAGAAACAAATAAGGATGGCTCAGAAAAAGAATTCTCAAGTGGTTCTAAATTGAGTTGTGAAAAATGTTTCCAACACACATTTTGTTTAATTTTTTTAAAAAAAAATTTATTTTATTTATTTTGTTTGTATTTTGAGACAGGGTTTTCTGTGTAGCTTTGGAGCCTGTCTTGGAACTCACTCTGTAGATCAGGCTGGCCTTGAACTCCCAGAGATCTGCCTGTCTCTGCCTCCCAAGAGCTAGGATTAAAGGCATGCACCACCATTTTGTAAATGATACGGGAATTATTATAAATGGAAGACTATATGCTTATCACAGGAAATGCTTTAAAGAAGATTAGTTTTATAATCTGGATCAGGATGTGAAGTGTGAAGACCATGCAATTTGCCTATGACCTTGAATTGTTGGTGAGGCTGTACATGCAGTCATCCCTGACTTGGCTCAACTAATAGATCTCGCTCTTTAAAAAATGTGCCTGGGAAAAACTGTGGTTGAGCTAGAGAGTCTCCTTTCAAACAGCCATATGAGAGAAAGAATTCCGAACAGAACACCACCGTTCTGTTTTCCTTGTCTGAACTCTGATAGAGAGATGGTGACGTTGATCTGTGATGTGTTTGAATACTCAATCCATTTGACATTGACTTTTGTGACTACTAAATTTTGTGACTATTAGAATGGACCGGCACTTGGGAAAGTAAAGACTGACATTTTATAGGCTAAGAAGGCTGGGTAGCATTTGGTATGCAGTTAGTGGGAAATTTTCCTATCACTTGTCTGTCGCTGGTATAATCATAGGATTAAGAGGACTGGTAAATTTGTTTTCATTGCTTTTTATAACATAATTGTGCAAATGTAAGAAAACAGTAACAGCATTCTGAGGCACTTTGGATTTATTTTGGGCCACCATTAAAAAGTAGGTGATACTGAATTCTACTTTGGAACAAGAATGCTTTATTCCTAATTACTTTATCAAGTCAGAAGCATCATATTTTGGCAGAATATTCTGCTGCTTGAATCCAAACATTGTGCTATAATTGTGCACCAACTTCACTGGCTCCCTCTCTGCTCCTGAGTGTCTCCTGATCATGGGATACAGATAAAGTTGGCTGCTACAGGGAGTTGTAGGAAAGAGCTTTGCCTTTCTGTAAAAACCATCACCTTCCCGAGCCTGGTACCTAACCCTGAAATCCCCACATTAGAGATTCCTTCCCTAGTTAATAATGTTCCCTTTTAGTAGGCAATTTTAGCCATTTTTATTCTTTGCGTCCTTTGCAATTCTCTGAGGTCTGTTGTTGGGAAAAGCTTCAGCTTCTGGTCACAGAGAGAAACTGAGGCAGACCCTAGATGTGGCAAGAAAGCCTGGCAGGGGCCACCTCCTTAGGATGTTTGCCTGGGGCCAGCCCTAGGAGAAGAGGAAAACCATTTTGTCGGTCATGTGTTGTTTAGCGTCTAAGGCGGCTGGGAAGAGAATGATGGAATTTCGGATGTTCAGAAGGAAGGGGATTTCAGCAAGGCCCCTTGTCCATTCTTAAGCTTGAGGGACACGGTCATCCCTGGCTGCTATGATGATGGATGTAGTTTGCGCAGGCCCTTTGGGAACATGGGTTCTCTCTGAGCTTCTCAGCCTCTAGCCTTACTGAGACCTATCTCCAACCACTGACAGGCCTACTTCAGGCTACAAACTCCAGCCGCTTGAAGACACTGAGGGTCCCCAGAGCGAACAAACTAGAATTGGCATAGACTCCCAGCTCATTTTCATATAATGCAAGCCAAGTATGCTTGTCAGAATTTATTTACCATAGTGGTTTAATTATATCACACTATAAAAAAACCCTGTTTTTATGGAAATAAAAAACAAACCTTCCTGGAAATCCTTCTACCTCTGCTGGCTTTCAAAATCAGTGTTGCGTGACAGGAAATGCAGCCCAATTAGAATGTTTTAAAAAATGCTGCTCTGAAATATGTTGGTAATAATGGGGTCAGGATTGACTCAAAAATAAATTTGTCACTTAAAAGTGCCGAGCCAAACTCCAAACTATAGCCTGCACCTTCTATTGTCCCTAAACTGAACTGTAGCAATGTGGCGTAGGTTTCTACTTTTGCTTCCCAAAATATTTTTATAAATATATGCAGTTAGCTAACTTTCCACAATCCCTCCAATCAAGGTAGCAATGAAACATAGATCTGATAAAGAATGACATCGAAAGCAAGGCTTGGAAGTGTATCATTCTTCCTGCCTGTGGGCTCTGTGATATTAGAAGAGCCCAATGAGCCCAGCTGCATGTGACGCAACAAAGTATAGGAACACAACTTGTTCCTAGGCCTCAAACGCTGCTTAACAGAACACACCAGCAATGTCATTGCCCTAGACAGCTCTGGAGAGTACTTTTTGTAATATGTTCTATCACCATTTGCACACGTAAAAGAGCAACAAAGACACCATTACAAGTCACTCTTAAAGTTTTCCAACTAGGTGAAGTGTTTCAGTGACTGTTACTTCTAACCTAGTCTGTTTGGGACAAAGACGTCTTCAGAGGCACGCCTTCCTGGCCACACTGTGAGAGGCACTTTCAGAGAGTGATGTGGTCTGAAGGGCCTGTTTCTAACCTTGAAGAATAAGAAGGGACTCCTGGTGCAGAATACACCAGTCCCACACTAGGGCCTGCTCACAAAGAGCCTTTGGTCAGCATGTCTCTCACCAAGTGAGCAGAGTTCGGGCAGAAGGCTTGGGTGCACAAGGAGAGGCTGAGACAGGAGCCAATAGGAAGTAGATAGCCTCAGAGTAACCCCTGTAAACTGGGCCAGAGAAAGACAAATGGGGCTCTTAAAGGCAATGCGTGATTCTTGCAGGTTGATTTCACATATGTGCCAGGAAGGAACCTTTGAAAGGGCATACATAGTCTTGGTGTGGTGGAAATGACATCATGTGTCTGAACAGCAGCAAGTGCTTTAATACTGCTATTTTCAAAAGACATTCTGAAGCGTGGGTTATAATTTTGGAATTATACTGATAGAGATATGAAGAATTTGCATTGGTATGGATCTTGGTCTATTGATACAAATTTTAAGTCAATCTTGTTATATGTATATTTCTGTTCTTGATTAAGGTACTGTGATTGTACAGTTCATTTAAAAATACAGGTTAATAGATAGTCATCTATAATAGTCAAGCTTGTAGTCGTGTTAGTTAGGTTTTCTAGGTGTACAGAGATGTATTTCAGATGGATGGATATTCTTCAAATCTTTCAAAGACTACAGAATATGGCATTTAAAATGTTTTAATAATGTAGAAATTTTCATAAAAATGAGACACATCTGTTCCTGGCAGCACCAATCTACTTCAAGAGGATGATGGGCACTGAAGAGGCTCCTCATGGAGTTTGTTAGCCATTTGGGCAAGAAACTGCTCTTGCCTGGACTTTTGATGTTATGCTGTATAAACTGGAGTCTTTGATGGAGTTGAAGAACAGATAAAGTTTTGCTTATTTATGATAAAAGATAAAGCAAATATAAATATTGTAACTGTAATAGTGCTTGATACCTGTTTTGTTGTATGTAATCTTGCTATGTTAAAGTTAAAACTTTCCTTTTTATTTAGACAGAAAAGGGGAGGTGATGTAGGATTCCCCTCTGTATGCTATGAATACCATTGGTATTCATAATAAAGAAGCTGCTTTGGGCCTATAGACAGGGCAGAATAAAGCTAGGCAAGAAAACTAAACTGAATGCTGGGAGAAAGATGGCAGTGTTAGGGAGAAGCCATGTAGCCATCAGTGGGGACAGATGCCTCCACTCGAGCCTGGTAAAACTTTGCCAGTAGGCCACAACCTAGTGGTGATGCACAGATTAATGGAGATGGGTTAGTTTAGGATATAATAGTTAGCCAGAAATATGCTTGAGCTATTGGCCAAACAGTATTGCAAATAATATAGTTTCTAAGTGTTTATTATGAAACTGAGCAGGACAGAAACCTCCACCAACACTATACTACTGAAGCAGAAGTTAGGTATACTTTTGAAGTATTCAAATAGGTGGAAAAACAATGTTAGGTCATGGTTTGTCTTTAAAGTTGTGGTTACCAGTTATACAGCAAGTAAGGAAGAGATGGATTTATAGATTGTAGGAGTCATCACAAGGCCGGAAGATTTCTCTGTTATTTATTAATTTTATGTATATAAGTGTTTTGCTTGCATGTATATATCTGCACCTGTGAGTGCCTGGTACTCATGGAGGCTAAGAGAAGCTGTTTGATCCCCTGCAACTTGAGTTACAGGTGTTTGTGAGACCCCATGTGGTTGCCAAGAATTGAACCTAGGTCCCCTGGAAGAGCAGCCAGTGCTCTTAACCACTGAGCCATCTCTCCAGTCCTCCTGCGTTCATTCAAGGATTAGCCCGATCTCATTGATAAAGCAGAACAATGTCTCTTGTTCTGGACATCTCCTGGTCACTGTTCGACCCCTTTCACTTACAAAGTCCCACTGTCCTCTGTCTCTACGCCTGTCATCCATCTCGTGGGCCAGGGTTAGTCTTTGATTTAGAAAGCAGGAAGAATACTTACGGTTCCCCCTGACCTTGAATGTTGTCATGAGTGAACACAGAACGATGTGGCTGAAAGGAAAGGATATTCAGTGTCATCAGGGTTTGAACAGGTATCACTAACAGGTAATTTGGGTAATAGCATGGTAACTGTCTTGACATTTAATATTTCCTGTTGTAAAAAAACCAAGAGGAAAGAAAAACAATCCACCAAATTAAGGGGTTCGGTGTGCTTAATAATTAAAGTATTTTGAAGGGTGCTTTCAATCAGAATACCCAAGGTCCAAACTTTGGAACACATCCACAATCTGGTCTCTCCAAGCTTTAAGGGAAAGTTGAGTCCCATTGATTTTTCCAAGGTCAGGAATATGACAAGAACAAAGACATCAAATCACAGGAGCAGGGAGGCTGGACTCCTTCATTCAACCTCACTCTCTAGTGCTCTCTCAGACAAGCAGAAGGAAGACACAGCTAGCAAAACCCACATCCACTCCGAGCTTTTCCTTTGCAGACGACATTGCCACATAGGTACAGATGGGAGATAGTCAACAGCCAGACATCCCATGCTGCATTTGAGGTTCAATTCTCTGGTCTCAATGGGGTCAGGGTCGGGCCAGGGAAGCACATGCAGTTTTTCAAAAGGGAAGACAGAGAACTTCCAGAATAATGCAACAGACAATATCCAGGTAACATATAATGCTTTACCTTAGAAGAGAAATATTGGTAGAAATCCCCAGTGCACTGAACTCTCAAAAGAGTTTCCTTTCTTTTTAAACTAAGCATCAAGACCAGTATCTGTAATAGATACTTATAATATTGGAAATGACAAGCCTCAGCATCCTGTATAGCCACACAAATACTTCAGAGAATGAAACTTAGCACATTTGTTAGGATACAGAAACTTAGTGCGATTATATTGATCGTCTGCAGGTTTTGTTTTCAGGAAATAGATGCATTGGACCCACTACGTTTCAAACATTTTCTGCTAAATGATAGCTACCTGCTGAGACAACAAGTCTGATAATAATAGAATTAGAATTTAGTTTTTATTATAGCCGTGTCTTCAGACATCAGGACCGGAGCTTGGATATGCATAGTTATTATTGATTATCCTAGAAAGATTTCCCCTGAAATTGTCCATAGAAAATTTTGGTTCAAGGATGGGTAGGGAGCCCTGGAGATCCCTTCAGTATGAGTCTGTTGATCAGGCCCCTTCTTAATTTATCTCCCATCTTCTAATCAATGTTGTCTATTTAGTGCAGATTAAGTATTTTCACTACGAAAACTTGAAGCTTTAAGTCTATTAATTGGTAGCATTTGTTAATAACATCCCTAGAGTTTCTTTTTCAACTGAGCATAGAATACATAAATCTAAACCTAAAGAGTGGATGAGAATTACTGACGGCATGAACGATTTACTCCTATAAATCGGTATAAAATTCCTAACAGGATTTAAAATTGTAAAGTCACATTATTAAATATAAAATATTAAAAGTATAAATTATATTACTTTTAAGGATAATGAAGATTACGCTGGGTCCATCGCCACACTCTTAATCTCAGTACTCTGGAGACAGAGGCAGGCAGATCTTAGTGAGTTCAAGCCCAGCCCACAAAGGTTACATAGGAAATGCCTGTCTAAAAAAAAATAAATGAAGACCAAACTGTCTTCTAAACACTTTTTTAGATCTTTAATTAAAGAAATCATTAATCAATTTAAATATATGAAGAATCAAGTGTAGGTCATCTATATGTATGTGTTACATTTCCAGCTCCATTCTAACTCCCTGTTAAGTTAAAAATTGAATACCACTTTTCAATCAACCTGTTAGTTAACGTAATCTACATGTGAAGGTTATTGTCCATTATTTGGCATTATCATTGGAACCGTACTTGCTCAGTACCTTTGAGTGTCCAGCCTCCAAAATTATTTAAATGAATTGTTTCTTTGGCAGTTAGGAAAGCTGGGTGTAGCTCCGAGTGTGGCCAGGGGTCACTTAATTCCTGGGGGTGTGAGCCAGCAAATTCCTAGCTCTTAAATCATCTTTCAGAACGTGCCTTTCCCTTGCTTCACATCCTCCCAACCCCCCCCCCCCCCGGAATCATCAGTTTCCCCCTAGTATCCAGTTTCTCAGCTAGAATATAATCCTTGATTTTATCACAGAGGCGCTGTATGTCTCATAAATTGTTTTGAAAACATTTAAAAGCTCTTCTTTAATAGAAACCATCCCTGGATGAGCTGATAACTAGAGGCCTGTTTCTCAGGAGAGTTGTGTAATTCCAGTATTGAGTTCATGTCTTTTACAAGGTCTCCGCCGCTAGAGGAATAGCGTGTTAATGGTCATTCATGAATGTGTACTTGCTGCTATCGACCTAGGACATTCAGCCCAGATTCCTCATCCTCCAATCGGTGAGACGTGATGAAGATGAATCCTGCCCCCACACGGAGCTCAGGAAGCAATAGATGTCTCACCTGATAGTTTTCCTTTGCCATGTAAAGATTCCTCTCCTCAATCTTATGCACCGAGCAGTCAGAAAATGAGCTAAATATTATGTATCTTAGTCATGTGAAAACCCACAGTGGCGACAACTCAACCTCACTCTGTGCATTGGTTAAACCCTAACCCAAAAGACATTGGATGGTTTGCTATGGCAAATTCATGACAAAAAGGGGGATGGAAGGACAATATTAATTATCCCCATGTTGAATGAGGTATTATGACAGACTAGATGGACTAACGTGGTTAAAGTCAGCATCTGTATTTTGCCTTTAGTACTGAGGTTTGTGTTTCCTGTGGGTATTCAAGCCAAGTGCTTCCCCATGCTATCTTTGCTACTGAGTCTGCACTCTATTGCCCCCTAATGGTAAGCAGTGGTAGTGACATGTTAAAAGTTGTTTTTGCCTTTGGCTGTGGTGATTGTGAAAAGATTTTCTGAAGCCCACGGGGTAATTTGAAGTAGATAACGATCTGTTTTTCCTACCCTGCTGTTCCCTTTCCAGCACTCTCAATTCTCTAGAAGAAATGACTTGCTAGCCGCTAATGTTTTAGAGTAGTGTCCACTTCTATTTTAACGGCTCAGGTGTTTCTGTAACTTCAGGCACGTCTGAGGTAAATATAGAACAATATGCACTTAACAGTGTTTGGAGAGGCTTACCCAGACTGTGGGTTTAAGAAGGCAGCTTCCAAGTTAACAGTCGCCATTACCATACAGGACATTTTGAGCAAGAATATACTATGATTATCTTTCCTCGTTCTACAAGAGCTAGTTCCAGGACAGGCTCCAAAGCTACAGAGAAACCCTGTCTTGAAAAAAAAAAAACCAAACAATCCCCTTGCCCCTTCCACAAAGTCATGAGATGGGAATATGTTTAAAAAAAAAAAAAAACTCAGGGTGTCGCAAAGCATGCCAACTTATCCATAAGAACTTATGGATGAGATCCATCAATTTTTGTAAAACAAACTTACTCTTTGTTTGTCCCTGTCTGTTCCCTCTCTCCCCTTCATCCGCAAGTTTATGTGTTAGTTCTGGAAGGCTGTTCAGAGGAGACTTAAGGTTCTCTACAACAAACTGGCATTTCTGTCTCCCTATAGCAACACAAGTTCCCTCCCACAATATGCAAAGCAACAAGTACAGAAGGCCTTACGTATAAAACACTATGTGCATTTATGTAATGGATAAAGGAACGCTAAAAATTCAGCCCAGAGAACTTGAAGTGCAGAGGAGAAGTGTGTGGCAGGCCAGCCAAAGCTAAATCAGGGTTCATTAACTTAGACTTGGTGAAAGGAACCCTGAGGTATGCATCTGTGGAAATCCCCAAATTCCTTGGCTGCCTTCCCCAGAACTCGGGGTGCCATTTAGAATCTATCTGTTCTCAAGTTCTGCAGATATCACACAACTGAATAGTTAAACGGGAGGCAACTGACCTCAAAGTTCAGTTCAAAGTTGCAAGGGAATTTGGAGCAGGCAGACTCCAGAGAACAGCATTACGGGGAGCGGGGTGGCCAGAATGTGGCCTGCATCTCCCGGGCAACAGAATATTTGGGAAGGGCTGACAGTTTAAAAGAAATTCATGGCAACCGAGAGACACTGGAGCTAACACGGCCGGGAGCAGGTGAGCTCAGGGGACAACAGGCAACGCTTTAGTTCTCCGCACCAAAAGTTGCACAGAGAGCAACTGAGTACGGAAAGGAGACAGATGTAGGAAACAATACACGCTGCACCCTTGTTTGTGTGGCGAAGCATTTGAGAGTGCCATTCTGGGTTTGAGACACTTGACACGTACCACAGGGGAGCGCACAACCCATAGCCCCTCAACTGCTGGCCATGACATCTCACGGGACTCCTCCCCAGCCTCACTTTACTGCCCCGTCACAGCAAAGTCACCTAAGGAAGGGCCAGGGTAGCCAGGATGGCTGCCGCAGGTGGGGGGGTATCCGACCCTACCCTGTGGGAGCTGCTGACGGGTGAACTGCAGGACCTCTTAGACATCACTGGGCTACGAGGCGGCTTACCCAGGACAAAAGTCTTGCTTTTTAAATCAGCCTAGAAAAGCCATAAGAAGTGGGTTAGTTCTCATCTGCAGGATGTGGCCTGTGGGAGGAACCTTCTTGGTTGGCTGTTTTCCATGCACACACAGCATGCCAAGCTCATGAATACTAGCCGAGCAGGAAGGGTGAACAGTCTGCATAACGGCTCCATAGAGCTTCCATCCTCAGGGCTCAGCCGCTACTCTGCTAGGAGACTCCCAGTGAAGAAAAGATGTGGAAGGGGGAAGCTGGTAGGAGAACGCGTTTGAATGTAATGTAGGTGGCTCAGAACACACATCGGAAATATTACCTCCTTATTAAGAGAATACTTAATAACCGCATCTAAAACACTCTTCAGCCCGTCTGTTTTCTTCGCATTTACCAAGTGGCAAGCAGTAACAAACAAGGCAAGATAAGAGAAAATTTGACCTAATGCCTATCAGTTTTATGGATATCATTAGGCTTTTAAGAAGCAAAAAATGTTCTATCAAAGTTCCTATAAAGAAAGTGATATTTGGTGGGGGCTGGAGAGATGGCTCAGTG